AGCTTTAAAATAAAGATTATCCTCTCAAAATAGTTTATAAGGTGGGGAAAACCTTTTCTTTTTTATTAACCTAAATAGAAAATATCTAATCAACAAAGACACAGCCTAGCAATCACAAATCTGAAGATCTAGTACAAAAATCTGTGAATGTACCTACTGTGGTGACTGTGGGCTCTCAGATTGCCCAGGGTGGGCAGGATTGGCAAGAAAAGCTCTTTAAATGCCCCACTGCTGACGAGAGGATCTACCTGACATACCCAGCTGAGGCAGAGCAACTACTACTCTTCGTTTACTGTAGGAGGTTTTGCACCTGCAGACAGCAACCACTCTGAATCACTCACTACTATCATGAACTAAAACAACATTGTGAAAGCTTGACCGTTTCAGGTACCGCAATAGAGTGATCAAATAATCCAGCCATGCACTATCATTTCCAGTATAAGGCAGCCACTAATAATGGTTTTGCTATATAATGACCTATTTTAGATATAGACACACACAAAGATTTATGTATATTTCATATTAAAATAAGGGCAGGACATTGCTTTGGAAATCATGGTTGTCTCTGTTTCCATCTGCGAATTCTGACATCATGTCTTATAATTTGTCCCTATTTCTACCCTGCATCTTTCATCTTTTGCTGCTGTTGAGCTGACTCAGAATCAGATTGCCAGCAAACCTCACCATCACCTAATTCTTCAGTGCTCTTCTATGGGGAGGAGGAAGAGGAGGAGGAGGATGGAAAAGAAAAAGAAATAAAACTGTCCCTTTAAAAACCAAAGCATTTAAGCTGCTTGTCAGTCGTCTTCCTGACAAGGCCACTTGAATATATTCAGGAATATTTGCATAAATGCTCACAGTGAGTTCACCGTGGCAGCTAGCGCTAATGGTACATAAAGTAATTTAGTCACTTCTCTTAGGCATCCTGTCAGGGTGATAAGCACCCCCTCTTTGCCTTGTTGCATATTAGATCATTAGATAATAAAGTGTTAGAGCATGCAAACTGACAGGGTCTCAGGGACTATCATTTTTCGAGGGCATTGCATTCTGCCAGTGAGGAAAAATAATAGAGAAACTGATGCTGCAATTGGCTTTACATTCTTGTAAAGCCATTCAAAGATTTGGGGGGAAAAAGAATTCTTACTTTGCAGCAATATGAGAGTTTTAACTGGAAACTTTGCAGACATCTGCAGCGGTGGACTTCATGCTGGTAAACTTGAAAAGGGTTGTTGCAAACCCTGTCAGAATTCCCCCCTTCCGTAAGCTACTCACTTCAATTGCATTGGAAAGATTTTGCTTTTAAAATTGACACCCTGGGATGAACTACAAGCTGAAATATATTTTACTAGTTGGGGCCTATTGGCTCTTCTCTATACATCTTACTATATATGTACAATTTAGAAAGGTCAACCACACAGGCTTTCTGGTTTACCATAAATATAAAACAAGTGAGGATCCAAATATTTGTGAATGAAAAAGTGATAATTATTGAAAACCACAGATTACTGTGGCTTACCCTATTTATACCACACAGAGATGTATGAAATAATTGGCCTTTGCCAACTATTACTTTTGAAAGATATATATATTTATTTGAAATACGAGCTTTTTAACCCACTGTTTTCAAGGAGGACAGTGTGTAGATATGAAACCATGATCTAGGTTCCTAGTTATATTCAGAAAGATGAGCTACGAAAAAGAACTTTCATTTTGCTGTCTCACAAGCAAGATATAAATAGAGATGTGCTGGATGTCCCAAAAATAATCCAGGCTACCTGCTAATGAGATGGTAAAACCCAAATGTGGAGACACCAGGCTCCTGAGTGGCTCGGGAGGTAAAGCCTTCTTTCCAGCTTTTTGGCACTCAAAGTCTCTTTTAAGTGTCACATAAACTGCAAATCCATGTTTAAGAGCAGCATGTCCCAATGCAACTTTGTAAGGAAAAATAAGCTGGCTATTCTCTAACTGAACTAGGCACACAGCACACCTTCTTGCTACATCCCCTCTCCCCTTTCCCCAGTCCTCACAGAGTCAGGCATTCATCCCTATTGCGATGGGATATTTGTGTTAAAGAGTTAAACATCTAGAAAAGTACATGGGAATACATTTGGTCAAGGGTATATTACAGTTAGATCCCAGCATTTAAAAACCTATGGTCAGAAGTTGCTCACCAGAGCAATAAACTAGAGACAAACTAGCCATGACTACGTTAGCTTCCCATTTCACCATTTACAGATACTGTTCAGGCCAATCTGTGCTCCTCCTGAGGGAGGCAGAAAAGTTGGAAAGAGGAAAGGCAAACAAACTGTCTCTGCTACTTACACTTGAAGATATTATCCAAGATAAAAATTTTTAAAAAATGAAGAAAAATAATATACTTTGGGACTCAAACTAAAAGTAAAAATTAATTTCAGTGGAGGAAACTGCCATCTGTTTCAATGGGTCTAAGGTTTGTGGTGGTTGCCCAAAATTCAATAGCATTAAGCCCAGTTGAGACTTTTCCTTTTTTTTTTTTTTCATTCAGTTAAATGTTTTAGACATCTAATAACAACATTTAATCAGTTACTGCGGTTTTTTTAAATTTTTTTTTCCTGTCTCTTGGACTCAAATGTGCATAGAATTCCTGGAGAGCTGGAGTGAAGGATTTAGGTTATAAAGAAAGGCTCCACCAAGCCTTTGGGAAGAGTGCAATTTTGTTGTGTGGAGGCTGCTATTCAAAAGTAAGAATTTACTAGTGGTTGCTTTATGAGGTTGCTTGAGAGGTGCCTGAGAAAGTAGATTAGAAAAATCACCTTTCCCACAAAATGTACACATGGAGATATTTTGCAGATGTTGACTTTTAATGTTAGCACAGTAACTAAGGTTTGTGTAGATATGTAAGCATAGCATTATCTTTTTTTGTTTCTTTTTGCTAATAGGATCCTTCAGGTAGTAGGAGTGGGAACGATAGCTGTGGTAAAATGAGATGCATGGGAATAAGAACATTTATGTATGAGAAAGTAAGTATTGTCTTGACCAAAAGCATGCACTGAGAAGACAGCAATGGGGGGGGGGAGGAAATATGGCATCTACTTTAGTAGGAATATAAGTAAAAAATAGGAGTGTTTTTTTGAAAGACTAGACTTAACGGCAAGATCACAAAGTTGAACAGCGGGAAGTTTCCTTTTGTAATGTTCTGCCTTCTGCTAATTAATAAAGACAGAGTTCATACACTCCTTACAAAAATTCAGCAAAAATTATGACAGTGGTTTGTTTATTAAATTAGGTTGTTGGCAGGATGAAAAAAATTTCTATAACATGAATTATGGCTGAAAATGGCTCATAGCCTACATAAAAAGTTAGAGCTAAATAAATACAGATGTAAGTTATGTTTATATAATGAGAAACGCTGCTGAGCTAAGAATTTTAGGTTAGTAAGTGTGAACTACAGACCCGATTCTGCAAACACTTATCAATACCCTCAACTTTACTGACACAAGAAGCCTCATTGATCCCAACAGGACCATATGTGCACATAATCTTAAATATATGCATAAGTGCTTGCAGGACTGATGCCTAAAAGCATAAACAGAATAGAAAGCTATTTCCACAGGAATCCACTGAGTAGTAGAAACCCACACATTTGCCCATTTCTCAGTATTAATAATTTCTTTTAACATATCTAGTTAACATCTTTCTGAGTGGCATTCGCTTTCCCAGAGAAAATTTTATCTGGTTTCTTCAAACTCTTTGGAAAAATCTATTTAATTATTCATCAGATCCTTGGCAAATATTTGTGAAACAAACCAGCATAAAGGACTGGTGCCTTCTACACTCAACTACTTCAATGGAAGCTGAGGGTACACATGTCTTAGAGGGAGCAAGCACCTATTGAATTTAGGATTACAAACAGCTTTGAAGACAAAGAGCTATTCTACCAAGCTGGAACAGGGAGAGGGGAGTGAAATGCCCTCTGTTTTTGTTTTGTTTTTCAGTAGTAGTCATCAACTTTGAGGACAAAGAGCAAAACAAAACATTAATCAAATCCAGATTTTTGAAAGTACATTTGCACTCAACAACTCCCATTTTAAGCACCTAGTCACCAGCAGATGTTCTCTTCCAGGACCAGCTGATCCTATGGAAAAGATTACTGTCCCCCAGGCTGCTTCCAGCCACGTGCCCCCATCCCACCCTCGCTGGGGTTTACTGCCCTTTCAGAAAAGCCAGACAAATTGCCTTGCACCATTTCTCCTTCAATCATTTCAGCAAAATAAGCTAGATTGGCAAAGAGTTATTATTTAAACTGTTTAACTCAAAGGAACTTCTTTGGACTGAAGGAGACTAGGGAGCAATTCAACAACCATCTTAGCTGGCACATCCATGGTGGAGAATAGCCTGCGGCAGGGAGGAGAGGCAAGCAGCTGTGGCATGCAGGGAAGAGCAACTTCCTCAGCTGGCACAGCTGGAGCCAGAAGAGAACACTCATCCATGGCTTGAGTAAGCAGATGGATTTCCAAAAGGGCTCTGCTTTCATTTAGGGCAATTCAAAGGAACAGCTGGATCTCCTAGAGAGCTCAGCACTCTATAGATAGAAGAAATCCAATGTGAAATTTGGGTGCTGAGCACTTCAGAAAATATGCAACATCCTTTAGATGCACATTTAAAAATCAAGGCAATTTGGAAAAGATCAAAATCCAATTTTGGGTGCTGAATAAATGCAACAAAAAAAAAAAAAAAAAAGAAATCACCACACTTCACTGACACACAGGACAAACTCTGCACCCATGTTTGCTTACTGGTTTGTCATTTCATTACATTTAGTGCCAACCTACTTGAAAAATTGCCCCTTTGGTCTGGAAGCCGGTCTCTCTAAAATATCCAGTCCCAAAGGTATAAACTGTTACAGGACAATTTGATGCAACCAGTAGCCAGAGACACAAACCAAATAAATCCACATTTAAAGTAGCAATGCCAACCAATGAAAATGATATGCCTACCATGTTCCAGATAAGAAGGCGTACCTTCCGAGGGATCGAGTCTTCTAGCTCTCCGCCCGTGCTTGGAATTGTTGTGTACAAACATATTGTCCGACACTGCCAACACATGGCCATCAACATTGACTGTTGTAGACACCACAACCTGCAAGCACAAGAGCAAAATGGAGGAAAATTTGGATATATATGTATGTTTTTTAAGAAGCACAGAGTGTAATAAACTCAGTTAAATAAATAACAGCTGGGAGCTGTAGAAAATTGCATAGCTATTTCGCATAATAACTGGTGCTTATGCTGTACAAATCTAACAAGAGACGCTATTGATGAGTGGGTCTTTGGCATCGAAAGCTTTTGATGCAGTTTTAAGTCAAATTGCAGAGTTTGTAGCTGCATGGCAGACGGCACACTGTTAACCATCATTTTAACAAGAGGATCTTTATTAAGTATTTTTTCCCCTATATACAAGGGCAGCTGTGTTTCAACCTAAATTATCCTTCAGTTTCCATGCTGAAGGAGATAGAGCTGTTCACATTGCAAAGGAGAAGCGATTCAGAATAAAAGAAAATAAAAATGTATTTTGTGAAGTTGCAATGAGAGTTGTTGCACACCTCACCCCCACCCTTCTCTCCTGCTGTCCCCTCAGTACAGTCACTACAGGTTGTTGGACTTGCCCAAATTTCTCCCAAGCTCTATCTTAGGGAGTACATATAGGTATGTTTGTGTACACACGCACGCTTGACAGTGAGGTCTTGATCTGGAGAACACAACCCTATTTATCCAGCATTAGAATTATTTGTATTTCTCAACTTATCTCAATGTCAACACCTCGGATTTGGTTTGAGGCAAAGGGAGGAAGACAAAGAAGCACTGCCCTGGAGGCAGGATCAAACACTACTTCTCTCCAGAGCAGCCTGGGGCAGGAGAGGAGCCAACCCAGCGGGGGCAAACAGGTAGGGGTTGGGTCCAGAGTAGGAGACCCAACTGCTCAGAGGTGTCCAGAGGGACCTCTCAACCTTGAGGTTCAGCAGGCACCATCCTATAGGAAATCCCTGCTCAGGTTGGGGGTACCCGAGCCACGAACCATCGTGGAGGAAGCAGGGGATGCATGGGGCAAGTCCCTGGCAGAGCTGCAAGCTAATCACACCCGGTCTTCTCCCACCCCGCTCAGACCAAGCGACCTCATAGTTTCCCTGGCTTTCATTCAGCTGTGCCCTCCCACAGTCTTTTCCCAGCAAAGTATGGCATTCCCAGGGTTTTACCCCAGCCAAAGATTTGGCCTTCCGCTGACTGCTGGTTTGCCAGGAGCACGCATCGCCTTTGAGAACTTTGACTAAAACAATAAGAAGAAATGACCTACACTTCTCCTTACATTGAACAGGGAAAGGGATTAAAAACTGAAACCCACAGAGATATGTTTATTCATGCGACCTCTTACAACCAAATATAATAATTGTCTGTTAATTGCAGTTTCAGCTCCCACCTCATGCTTCGACATGTGAAACAGCAATCAGCAGCTCCTGTTTAATCCACCTATTATGTTGACTAATTAACTTTGCTCGACAGTTTATTTCTTCCTCCATTATCAGCCCCTGTCAGCCGCAAGCACACTGCCGCAAAGGGGGACCTCAGCCCTTTTGATTGATCACCGATAGATTGACATGCAGATTAATTTAATTAGAATCACCTCACTTGAGAAATGAAAGACAATGGCAAGGGGGCTAATAGATCTGCTCTTATAATGAGGCAAGCCTCCAGAGCCACGGCAGAGGATTTCTGATTTATTTTGCTGAATTCCCCAGTCGCTCTGAAAGGCTCTCGCTTTAATTGTTCTTGGTTTTGAGAGGCTTTAGCCTCTGAAGAGGTGAAATGCTTTACAAGGATTGGCAAACATTGCTTCAACTCTCTCAGGAAGCTGCTGCCTCTCAAAGTTGGTCAAATGGGGACACTTAAAGGATCGCTTACAACAATTCAATTTCATCACTTGAATGGGATCTAAAAAAAAAAAAGTTAAAGAAAAAAATTTCCACCTATTTCTGACCACCAATTAAAATGCTCAAAAATATAAAGTAAGCAAAGTTGCTAAACTGCCCATAGCTAATCCCAAAGACTTTGTCTTTAAAAAGAGGAATACAAAAGAGAATAGTTTACATCTAAAGGATCCTAAAACCGTCCCTCAGAATGGCATTCCAGGCAATAGATTTTTGTGCGTGTTTTAAGTGAAAGATATTAAAATACAGAATAAATGATTCAAGAGCTCTTACAGATGGAAATTTGGGAAAAAGAAAGCACCAAACACTATAGGTAAGTTTTTCTGAAATCAAACTAAGGGGAAAAAAAACCCAAGCCCTATATATAAAATTCCAAAAGGGATTTCAAAAGTAATTTATCCATTGCATTCCTGAGGGATAGAATAAAGTTTATGATATTTTCAATAAAATATGATCTTATAGTAAGTGGCTCAGGGTTTGCAATCTTATTTGTGCACTTGCAACCATTGTAAATTCTTTGCGACTGGGATTTTGAGCCAAATCCTTAGCTGGCATTGCCTGTCACAGCTCCGTGATTTATGCCAGCTCCCTATCTTCTTCTATGGGTCTGTTTAGATGCATATGAAAATTAACACTATTACAACTAATAACAATGGTTACAACATAAAATATTTTCCCCAATCCTAAAACCATATAGGGGCACACAGATTTCCCACTGAAGCTGATCAATCCTGTGCAGAAACCCAAACTTTTGAATGTTTCTAGAAATAGGATTCCAGAAGAATAATGGGTCAAGGGTAATAACAGCAAGGTAGGTCTCAAACCTGTGAAAATCATACATATAAGCAGCTGTTGCTATACATGCACCTTTCTAGGGAAGAACTCGAGGAAACAATCCTAGTGAGGTCAGTTTTATTTGAGTAAATCTACATTTAATTTTTCCCCCCTCATGTTTCCGAAACTGTTGATGCAACATATTTTGAATTACTTAACAGTGTCTTCCTACTTACCTCCGAAACAGAAAGTTTGATTTACTACAAAGAGACCACATTGGTGTGGTTCTCTGGTGTCGTTAGCAGAAGAAACTATAAAAGGAATCCCCAAAAGAAACTGTTTCCAGTCTCAGGAAATGCAGAAAAAAAAGTGGTTACTCTCATGTATCTGTCTTATTCATAGTGCATCTGTAAGAAGCAGCACACGCTTACTGCCCAATTCTTTAAATGCAAAATCACATTAATACAGGAATATTGAACATACACTGCACTAACAAAATATTAATGCCCCTAATTAACAGAGAAAAAATACACCTTGAATATTGTGTGCCACAGTTACATACTTGGATCACTACAGAGCACTTACATATTTACAAGTTCTACTCATATTTTTTAATCTAAAAAAATACTACACTCTCCTCATTTTGATTTTGAAATGACTGGGATATGTTCAAGTTAAAGCACATGCTAAAACTAATTTGTGGAGAAATCATAAAATTAGGGGGAGGGGAGAGCCAAAGTATATGTGAAATGGGTACTGAGACATCCTAAAACACAGACCATAGCAGAGGGAAAGGCACACTACAGTTTAATAAATGATTAATGAGGTGCTGACACATTAATGTAAGCACAGGGACAACCAGGCCTGCCAAATCTCAAACCTTTCCAAATTTTGTCAACAAAACACAGTTTTAATTTGGGACAGGCAAACATGGAAAATGATTTTGAGCTTTAGCTTTAGCCCTTCATAGATTTTGCATTTAAATCCTTTATCAACACCAGGGGAGACAGAAGTATGAAAGAAACACATCAGTTTACAACTTTCTTCAATGAAGTTGGCACTATCAACTACATTAACGTATCACAGCTCTGTGAATTATTCTGCCTGCCATTAAATAGTTCAGTTTGTGAATACTTTGGAGCTTAGTTTAAAAAAAAGAAGAAAAAATTCAGACCAAGAGCCTGGAGATCAAGCTATTTATCCTGTTTAGCACTCGGCCTGTTTATTTGTTATAGTACCTCACCTAATATATCAAAATTAAGCATTGTATGACTCCTCATTTTTAACCACAGCCCATTAAGCTTTGCTAACTGATTAAGACACAGCATGTTCCTTGTGCTTTCAATTTTCTCCAATGTGTGGTGAGGGTTCTGATATTTTTGCGATGTCCCCAACATCCAGTGGCAAAGGCAGAGCAAATCTGATTATGATTTCCAGGTTTGAAGTGTGTCACCAGTGTTAAACCTGTAACTCAGTGCTTGCTGCTCTTCTGGAAGCTATGCAGAAATGGCTTCAGCAACATCTTTATTTTCATCACCACTTGGTGACCTCTACCTACAATGTGTTGCTTGCTTTCTTCTAGTAACTAAAAATCACTTTTGGTTTAACAAGACACTTAGTAAGGTGCTTAAATTAAAGCACATAAGTACAATACATTCAGTAATTTTGCTCACGTGCTCGAGGACAGGCTGGGCGCTTAATAACCTTGTTGAATTGGGCCGCAACTCTCACTGCTATTTTTCAGCCCTTTTTTTTGGCCTTTCCCTTCTCTGGGGATGGAGCCTTGCACGTCCAAATTCCATTATCTGGGATTCATGAAGCATCATCTCTGTCTCATATGCAAATTTGCAATAAGACACAAGTGGCTTCAATTCAAACATGAGTGGCAGCGTCCCATGGAGGCAAACTAGCAGCCTAGGCCGAGGAAGAGGTTGTGGTAACAGAATCAAACAGCATGGCAATTTCTAAGTGACTTTCAAGGGTTTCATAATAAATGAATGTTTGGGGTTTTATGCAGTGACTCAGTCTGAAAAGTTTCCTCTAAATTAAAACTTGACATGTGTCAGTTTGCAAGCAGTTGTGCTAAAACAAGAGTACAACAAGATAACTAGGGCACCTGGGTTTCATTAATTACAATAACATACAAAACTGTTTAGGTTGTATGAATGAGTTTTTAGTGCTGCAAAATAAAATCTGGGCAGAGTTCACCCATGATACCATCTACTTGGTATTATTATTACCACCCTAACTGGGGCACTACCGCCCATCTCACCAAGATTGTCGACTGATTGTGATGAAGAATGCAAAACCAAATGGAGCATCTGCTCCATGGGGTTTCTAGAATAAAAAGGCAAGGTTGGACAAAGCTGACAATATGTGATATCACCAAGTGCACCAATTTTGTGCAATTGGGCTGATGAAACACAGAGATGAAACGATTTTCTCAAGGACAAGCAGGGAGTCTGTAGCACAGTTGAACATTCAACTCAACTGCCTTGAGTCCCTGCATTGTACTATACTTTTCTCCTCTCTGCCTGTCTCCTTCTGCTAATAGAGACACAACTGACACAGCCAGGGCCAGCACTGCTCCAGCACACACTTTTGCTGGCATTCGACACCACTTCAGTTGTCACGTGCCTGGACATCTCAGACATGCAGAGAAATGTATTTCCTTCCAGGCCCACAACTGCTTTTATGTTAGGTTTATCACTCCACTACATTTGCATGCAAAGTTCAGGATAAAACTTCCTAATTCATTTCTATATGTGAGTCTGAATGAAGTTTCACACACAGGTCGCCTGAATCAACACATACTCTGCCTCTTCCCTGTACTTTCTTAACCTCTCTCATACCATATGATAATCAGACAATTCCCTGCTGCAGGATAAAAAAACTAAAAACTGCTAAGAAAGGAAAGTTACCGGAGGGCTGGTCCTTAGATAGCACAAGACTTGTGTCCCTGGCCCTTCACTGTTTCTCCCACCAAAACCATAATCTGTGTTCTAATAACTCCTAGCAATTTGGGGGGACTGAAGAATGAAAGACCGTGGCCAAAAGATGACAAATCTCTAGGCTGCTTAACAGTCCAGCACAGATAGGGGAATGAAGTAAAGCAAGGGAAAGTCTCCATTTTTTATGTGTAAAACAAGTATGCTACTCTTTTTAAAATATCTGGAAATACCTTACTTTCATGGATTTTAACCAGAACTTTGACATAACTGTTAGGGACCTTATAAGTCACTGGCAACATTTCAAACATAGCTGATAGCAAACCCTTCACTGATTTCACAGGGGCCCAGATTTCACTTGGTTCCTATACAACATTGTCTCAAACATCTAGGTGCATCATATCATTGAGATACTATGTATATGCTTGGTCCTTTTCACCCTAAGAAATGATAAATGAAGCCTGGACTCCGTAGAGTCTGGCTATTTTATTTTAAGAAGTCTATTGCTAAGAGCAACAAGTTCAAAATTAAAAAAAAAGAAAAAGAAAAGAAAAGAAACAAAAGCAGCTATTGTGAAACAATAAGCCCGGGCACTTAACAGAATGCTGCAAGCTTCAATACCACCCTGTATTATAGTATGAGTGGTTCACTCGGCTGAAAGTGATTAATTTCTTGAAAATGCTAAGGTCACACTAATTGACATGACCTGTGTAATTAAGCAGTCTCTGTTTACACACGGAAAGCTCAACTGCTGTGAAGCTGGGTTTGTATGACAGAATGTCTTTACAAGTCAAGAGATCAACAACCTTTCCTATGTCCTACCTACTCGCCGACACAGGCTCCTGATTGCTGTTCTGAGAGAACACGCAAAGGCATTACCATATGAAAATCAGCCTCGAGCCTGGACGAGCACAAACCCAGCAGAGTGTACATGTTGTGAAGCAAGTTCTGACAGGCCCCAGGGGTGACTGCTTGGCCTAAATCCCTGTGCTGGTGAGAGTCCTTTTTCCACTTTCTCTTTCAGTGACAATCACAGGAGAAACGTGATGGAGGGAGGAGTGCGGGGTGAGAAGCCAAGGGCTCTGCCATGCTAATGCTAGCTCTTATACTGATTAATTTAATCACTGCGGCCACATCTCCTCACTTCCGCTCTTCTATGCTCAGAGGGGCAACTAACACCCTTCTGCCTTCCAGTGTTGTTGCAATTAAGCAGTTCAACAAAAGACATATGTTCTACATATAAATAATATCGCCATTTACATAGCATTTAGCACTTTTATTTAAGTGCGACAATGCTGGAAAAGAAGCAAACCAGGTCCTGAGCTACTTCAGAAAGCAGCCGTCTTTTGGAGTTGTCTTCCTCCAGAGACCCAGGTAGTCTATGGGACAAATCTCCTATTTCTTCCTCAAAACCCTGAGGCAAAACCCCACTGACTGACTCTATCATGTTTTCTCTTTGGGCCACATACGCTCCTCCTCAAAAGAGAAGGTCCTTAGGCTCTCTACCCCATATTTTTATGCAGCACATACTCAGGTAATGCATTACTGGCACAGCCAAAGGACCACATCTTCAGTAAAAGGGTTGGAGCAACTATTTCTCAGCATTGCCACCACACCACTCTGCTGCCAGCACTGCGGAAGGCAAGTGCAGACCATCTTCCCAAGGGACAGTGCTGTACTGGATCCCAAAAGTAGTTGTAGACATAGGTGTAGCGAAAAAAAATCTCCTTGGCCATCTGAAGCTGTGTTGATACTACAGTTCCCAAGCCCCGCTGCCACATGCTGCAACAGCGGCAAAATACCAGCCCAAAGCATGCCAAGAAAGATACACCCAATGGTAGTTTTTTCCAAGTGCTGACTACAGGGATAGAACTTCAGCCCATTGATGCATGTTTATGAGTCTTTAGCGCTGCTGAAGAATAACTGCTGAAGTGTAGCCACGAGCCTGATTTTATTAATTGCTTTTATACCCTTCTCTGCCCCTTCCAATAAACATGGTGCTCGCTTAGTGTTTACATGAAGGCAAATAGTTCCCCAGGCAGAAAAGAATATCTCAGAGCAGGGTAGCCCCATAACCTAAAACAACAGTGAGGTCATTTTGATTTTTCCTTTTCATGCTTTCACTTCCCGTGGAGATGACATTATCTTCAAGAGTTCTCTTGCCCAGAGCAAGAAAACCCAACTACTTCCTGCCAATTCTACTGTGACAAGAAGTCCTCAGGCAATATTCTGTGACCTTATGTTTTTAGCATCTTCTAGTGAATTACTAGGTTAGTTTGGGTCAAAGTACTTCTGTCCCTAACAGCTGCTGATTTTTAAAGGAGGAAGCGTGTCCGACTGACCTGGAATCGACGCATGTCTCGAGGGTTTCCTGCATTTTTTAGGCAATTTTGGTTACATTTGAGGAAAAATTTCAAGAAGAACCTGTGGAGAAAGAGAAACGGACATTAATGTCTTATAAACAGTGCGTAGTAATACTATGTAACATCTGCACGTTTGGTCCAACAAAGCCTAATTTACATTAGTATTCCCTACCCGGATAAATCATCCCACTGACCATCCAAAGAGGGAGCAGAAATTTCATGGGCCCCAATCCAGCAAAACATGTAAGCACGTCCTAACATTTAAGCATTAAATTAATAGATCTGTTGTGTCAGAGCCCTTAAAGTTTGTAGAGTCAGTCCCTCTATCACGCTCAATGGCCAGCCCTGCTGTGCCATCCATAGCAGCAAGGAAGTAAGAGACACATATTTCAGCACAGCAAAAAGAGGACAGAAAAATGCCAGCCAAGAAAATTCCCTTTTGTATAAATGGGGTTTTGTTTTACAAGTTCGCTGTCGTGTGCAAATTTTTATTTAATACAAAAACACTGAAAATGTTCCATACAGTTGAAATCTCCCTTCCACAATTAAACCCAGTTTGTGCATAAAATTAATGCTCAAATAAGGATTAGTGGGAGACCAAAACCCTGAGAGGAGAAGGGGGAAGTCTTGGTTAAAAGACTTACTTCACGGAAAAATGAAATATTTTCAATGCAGTCTATTTCCTGACCATACACAGTTCACTGAAGTAGCTATATGACCCTGACATATATCTCTAAGAAAAGACATTGCATTTTACAAAGCCAAAGAAAAAAGCAAACATTTCACTGAAAATATTTCCTTCAGTGTTATGCATCAGTGGACTGTAAACTCATAAAGACAAGTCAATGAATAATAGTGGGTCTCAGATTCCAGGCTTCCTCCCCAAGAGCCAAAGTTTATCAATCTTTTGTCCAAAATAAACTACAGACTAAGGTCTACTAAAGCTCAGCCGTGCAAAATTTAATCCTACAGCAAGTTTAAAACCTAGCGCAACCAGACAGAGCAGCATTACACTTGCAATAACCATCAGTTGACTAAGCAGAAGCTAATCTGACCTGTTTCCACATACAAAAGCAGGGCGGGGAATTGTTTGATCCTGGTTTACTTTAAATCAGAAAGTTAACTTTTGCAAGCATCCATCTTTTAGCACCCAAACTGAATGCTAGGTCAGCAGAATTTGCACACACTGCCACCAAGAAAGGCAAAACTGCAGGGTAAACAGCTTCAGAAAATCCCTTTTTGATGAGCAGCATTCTTTGCCCTGCTCTAGTTGTGATGCCGCCCCTCAACAAGGCACGTTTTGGTGCTTGTTCCTCCATGCCAAGAAAATCATACTAGGCAAATGGCTGCAAGGAGAAATTGAAACTACAAGGGACTGTTTGCATTAAAGAAAAATAAGGTAATGAGGAGGATTATAAAGCGTGATGCTTGGGATTATCAAGGACTGGATCTCCTGACCCAGGAAGTCCCTTCTAGACCTGTGCTCCTAAATAAGAGCAAGCAATCAACATAAAATAAACAGCCGCCACACTTGAACAGGGGTTTCAAGACACTGTGTTTGTTTACACTAAAATAAAGAGCAGTGTAAGCCATTAGGTTTTCTCATCAAGCAGGTTCTGATATTCAATAACAGAAAGTTGGTGCTATTTGTTGTACATGTGTGTGTCTTTTTAAGCCTCTAATGGCCAGCTGTGACAGCCTGACTCAGATTGTGTAGAAGGAGCTGTCAGCACAAATCTTGGCATCTCGAATCCAGACAACTGCTTGCCACCAGGCGAGGGTTTGTACTCGTGCCAGAATGGATTTTGAGAGACAAGCAAATAGGGCATTAATTCCGCCAAAGAAAAACGAAAAGCGGGGAGAGTTCAGGATCTTACACTTCAGATGATGGCTTTCCTGTCAACAGCTCGTCATTTAGCTCATGAGCTATGAAGGGCACGGACATCAGATCCCTCTTGCCCTAAGCTGGCCCTGTCATGCAAAATGCTGGCAGGATCCGGAGACCACCCCTCCGTGCGAGATTGCTTGCTGAAATAAAAAGCCCGGCCATCTGTTGGGAGGCAAAGACATCCCTGTCAGCTGGTGCCTACAGCCTTGAACAGGCCCTTATGTGGCAAAACCTCTCAGAGCCACTTACTCTTTGGGGAGAAGCCGGTGCTGCCCCGGGTCTGCCGGTGGATTTTTGGCGGCTTCGCCAAGCACCGAACCCAGCAGCTGCCTGCCCGGTCTGCCGCAGCCCTGGAGCAACACCTTGGCCCCAGGGGGAGCTGGGACATGGAAGAGTTAAAAATATCTGCGCTGAAAGGCAGCATCAGCCATGCAAACGTGGGAAGCGCCTTCCCAGTCTGGCTTTGCACAGCACGCGTGAGCGCTGGGCAATGGGAGTTGGTGGCTTGAGTCAAGGGCCCCAGAAGAGATGGAAAGCTCTTTGTGAAGCTCTCCAGAGAAACTCTCGGCCTTCCCTTCCCTTACAAAGTCTGAGCTCACGTCAGCTCAAAGGCTTGGAAAAATCACTATGAAACACAAGAGTTGGCTTTCGGGGTCTGCAAACTCAAACCCAAAGTTTTGAAGTCTAACTCCATTTGCACTGTGCTATCTCCCCCAAATTCTGCAGAAGTTTCATCAAAATAAACTGCAGAAGAAATGAAGCTTATCTATTTAAACCTACCGAAAACTTCAGGCAAGCAAACAAAACTTCCTTTGAATTAAATCAACTCCAGAAAAAAATTAACTTAAAAAAATAACACTATTTTCAGAGGAACTTTCAAGACCCCAAGCTTACACAGCCAAGTTCGCTCACTGCATTTTAAGTAAAAAGTCGCCAGTTTACTGAATACATTCTGCCAAGCACCGTATTTTTATTCCACTGAAAGACAAAACAAACTATAGGCTGCACTTTGTTTTGGAACACACCAGAGCTGGAGTCCCCTCGGCTATGCGAAAGCATCCCACGCTCATCTAGGCGAGAGCCGAGCGGCTCCCGAGCTGGCACAGCACGTGCCGGCTGACGGTCTCCCCCCGCTTTGGCAGGAAGGTGGATGGGAACAGATTAAGACAAGGGTAGAGTGGAGCAGTTTGTTTCATGGGGTTCAGCCTGGGCTCTCGGTTCCTGCTTTAAACCGCTTGTTCAGGTGCCGCCTTCACCTCGAGTCCAGTCCTGCCAGCCTTGCTCATTAGCAACACTTCACTCTGCAAATAGTTCAGATTTGGATTGACAGGACGGGTCCAGGAGAAGTGCCAACAAAGCTGAGCTCTTTGTAAGCATAAACCTCCATCCCCATTTATTTGCATCTAACTTCTTCACAGTGGGTTATTTTTTTCAGTTCTAACTTTCTCCGCGTTTGGCAGGGCTGTATAGCATTAATACTAACCACAGAGGATATACAGCATTAATACTAACCACTGGGGTCTGAAATTCATTCCCAAGATGAAAAAAATGTGCAAAACACAGGAGTGTCAATAAAATCTTCAACTTTAACTCTCTCTCCAAGCTTACGTGATTGCTCAACACCAGCTCGTCTGCCACACAAGACTCAGTCATCAATTATACTTATTGCTACCATTGAAGGTTTTCTTTTTTGCATGAATCACACAAAACATATTTTCTGACTCCCTTCCTGACTACTAACATCCCTGGTGTGAAGAGCATTTGTGCATATGGAGCAGAGAAACACAAGCCAGCTCCACGCGAGTCAGCCCAAGTCCAGAAACATGCAAACTTTTACAAAGCGCTTGGATTTACTGACTTACATTGCTATTAAATCAAAGGAGGACTCCGTGCTTCACCCCCTACCCCACAGAGACATGGTTGGAGGGTATGGGAGTGCAGTTTTGGAGAAAACCCATTAGTTTTAGATTACATTTAGGTGTGCTAAGATGCAGTTCAGTGCAGGCAAAAACTACTCAAAGAGTGAAGCTGCTGAGCAGTTAATCCATGCCATGGCACTGTACTACTACAAATCTCTAAGTAACTGCAAGGACCAATGTAGAAATACAACCTTCAGTTAAATAAAAACCTCCAGTCTGAATCAGGCCGCAAATTAACTTGAACTTCTGTCTGCCAGGCAGAAGCTCTAACGAATGGGTTATTGGCTCTTCTGGGAGTGTTCTCTCCTTTCTCACAACTCGATAGAAAACTCCTTTCCGGAGATGAAGATTTTTTTTCTAACAAAACTGCTGCATTCCCCAAAAGATTTTGGTGTCTCTCACCATTACCCTCTACTCTCTGCTAGTGAGGGACTCTTACCCCAGCCCAGTCTGAGCTCCCTGGTTGCCCCCGCTGCCTTCCCACGCTGCTACTTCTAACTCCTGACACTGGCTCCCTCCTCACTCCTGCTCCTTCCATCCTCGGATTCCCTCATTCACCTGAAGGATCTAGCGAGCACACTACCAGCTGGAGGTCACTCCACTTGTCTAAAATACTGCCTGCCATTCATCACTGGCCATCTTGTCCCTCACACTGCTAACCCTTTGGGTTTGTGCAATACGTCCCCAGCAGCATCCCACTCTTTGTCCCTGCTAACTACCAGTAATTTAAAATAAATAAATACACAGCAGAAATGAAAATACTAGCAATAAAGAAGTAAAAGGATTTTGCCCTCCTACTTTTCTTGCCACTACAAATTAATACCAGTGTTTATTAAAAATAAGAGTTAAATTAAAGAAAGCAAGCTCTGACATGATCTAGGTTGGCTCTTCTGTCACTCCTCTGAAGGAAATTTAAAGAAACTCAAACACGAAGGCTTAGCAGTAGGATTTTCTTGCCATTGCCACAATAAATATGTCTGTGGAAGGAGAAAAAAAATAGTTGGAAGGAAGACCTGCTGCATTCCTGATGCTGAAGAAAAGCTTGTTTGTTCCCAATACATTGGAGAAGTTGTTCAAGAACAGTTCATCCATGTGAAAATACGACAGCTGTCATGCTGCCAAGGTCAGCCAGACCAGTGGCTATCCAGAAAGCGAGTGCCGGTTATACAACTTAAACCTGGCTAGGGCAAACAAAATTGACAAAATGCCTTTTCTGAGGTATAAACGCATTTGATAGAAGAGGACAACTTTAGA